CAACTAACGAATAGCAAGAGTAACTAGCGAAAGTGCAAAATGCACCTGCCCACCGAACAGCGCCGAAAATTTTTTTCTCCTGCCCAAATATGAAACCCTCCACCAGCCTAATACGACCTCTTTAGTTCCACTCAACGCTGATGTCTCCTGTGCGCGAGCCTGAACAGTTACTGTCCACTTCTTCTTCTGCGTCCCATCACTAATCCCACAGTGAGTCAGGACCTATAAGAACCTATTTTCAGTGCTCACACCATAGCTGACCCCCCCCCTCTTCGTTCGTTTTCTGATGGTAACGAAGGCCTTCTGCGTCCCATCACTATCATCATTGCTGTCATGTATCTACTCTTTCTATTTTCTTTTAACATCGGCTGTCAATCATTCTTATGACACCAATCATCACATTTCTGCCCTTGTCTCTCCTCGTGTCAGTATATTTCTTTTTGTTCTGAAATCATCACTTCTTCTTTGTTCTCTCTTCCCACCCCTTATACTTCCTCAGATCATTTGCTCACACTCGTTTTGCTTCTCCTCGTTCTAAAAAGTGACTGTTCAACAACGACTTGCGGCCAGCTGTTCTACAAATAAGTGTTTTTAGCCCTTCAGACAAGACTGGTACCAATCAACCAACACGGAATTGATTCTCCGACTGTGCACGCGGCAAGCTGCTCCATTTGCAACTTTAAGCCAACCGCTTTTTATCATATGGTCCTTGGGAAGGGGGTCGTGCGTGGCACCGTTAGACCCCCTCCCTCCTAGTTGCACACCTCTCCCCTCTCTCGACGCCATTTTTTCAGAAAAAAAATCGCTGTAAAAATAGTAGAGAACCGGAGGAAATTTCCATTTCCCACCATTCCAGCCATTTTATTAGGTTGTCCGGAAAGTTCTCAGCGTTTTGTGTCACTATTTTTTATACATTCATTGCTGATTAAAAACTCATTCTCCCCCCCCATCTCACCTTTGCCTCTCGAGTATACCTCCTGAAAGAAATTTTTTGGTTACCTGGATGTAATAATTGGGCCGTTTCACGGCATTGCAATGTCGAACCATTGAACAGCCGGTGGACAATGGTTCGACAAATTTGCGTTGTCTGGAGATTTTCAGGCCTTGAAGAGAATCTCGCAGCGGTCGACCTAAAGCAATACCTGACGAGGATTTGAAGGCGTTTGTGGAGGCTGACCCATCCCAAACAGTTCGAGAGATTGCAGAAAAGCTAGGCGTTGGCAAATCCACTGTTGCGGATGGTCTGAAACGCATTGGGAAGGTGAAAAAACTCGACAAGTGGGTGCCCCACAATTTGAGTGACCGGCAGAAATTGGTGCGCCTCGAGGTTTTTCTTCTTTCACTGCTTTTTGCGCAAGAAACGACCCGTTTTTGGACCGAATTGTCACCTGTGATGAAAAGTGGATCATGTATGATAACAGGAGACGTTTCGGACAGTGGTTGGATGCCGACGAACCACCGAGGCAATTTCCAAAGCCGAATCCTCACGAAAAAATATTATGGTCACAATGTGGTGGTCATGGGCTGGTGTGGATCCACTATAACTTTTTGTCACCAGGCCAAACCATCACAGCAGAGTCCTACTGTGAAGAAATCGACGAAATGTACCGAAAATTGCGTCAGCTGCAGCCAGCACTTGTCAACAGAAAGGGTCCGATTCTTTTGCATGACAACGCCCGCCCAACGTTTCACAAATCCCAACACAATTTGAACCTATTGGGCGGTCGAGTTTTCCTCACCCTGCCTTATTCTGCCAGACCTTCGACCAACCAACTATGACTTCAAACACTTTCAGAACTCCGCCTCGCTGGAAAATAATCATCAACTGCAGGACCCAGGCAAAAAATTTTTCAATGAATATTTTTTCGTTACACTCGTCTCGACCACCCAGTTTTTTTTTTTCTTTGATGGGATTTCTCGACTGCTGTCACATTGGCAAAAGTGTGCTGATTCGAATGGTGCTTATTTCGATTAAATCCGATGAGTATTAAGAAAGTTATGATCGTTTAAAGTGAAACACTCAAAACGCTGAGAACTTTCCGGACAACCTAATATTTCTTTGTGTCTCTAGCTCCTCCCACGTGTGTCGCTTTAAGTTTTGTTTTGAATGCTTTTGCAGTCATCACATTCAGCCATCAATCATCTATTTGTTTTTGCAGTGTGATGTTTGTCTTGTTTGACGTGAAATGTTTACCTTCTTTGGCCTCCTCTCCCTCTCCTTCTCTCCCTGCTCTCATCCCCCCTCTCTTACAAAACCTCCTAGATTTCCTCTTCTGAGCCCATGCTTTTTATAACACACACCTTACTTTCACTCTCCTCCTCCCAGAGTTGTCGCAGTGACCCCCTGCTGTGAATTTCGAACCGGATGCTTGACCTTGTCAGCACCACCTTTGGCTTATCCCTATCGCCGTTTTACGCGAATTATCGCTGTCACCCTCCCAGCCCAGGGACAAATTTTCAAGTAACAATAGCGCACACGCCCAGTAAGGAAGGATGAGGTGCGGGTTCAGGTGGTAGGTCAAGAGTTTTGCCCATAACTCAGCACCCTTGAGATAACTTTCGGAACTCGAACTGTGGCATTTAATAGCAATTATCATATCAATGAAACAATATCATAATAAAAACAACTTTTTCATTTTTAACAGCATATTCTGAACATGGTCCCGTTTCAGGAAATTCATGGAACTTAAAACTTTGCCTCTGAAATCAGTCAAAGTAAAACTCCACTGTGGTTCTAATGGAGCTTTGGCGGTGCTTGTGAGCCAGATGGTTAACCGATGGTCTCCGAGCGGAAACACTCTTCAAGGGAGAATTTCTAGGCTCTTCAAACATGTTTCATCCAGGGATGGAGCTCTAATATGTGTGGACAGGAGTGACACGATAGCGGAGCAAATCCCCGCTTGACTCTAGTCCAGGCCAACCATGATTTCCAAACTCCGGCATCAGTATAGATACCGACATCAGTCTCGCCTGAGGGAACAGCGGCACTGATCTGTACCTCAATTAACCCTCGCAATTCATTTTGTTGGCAGCAATCGAAAAACTATGCTTTTGAAATGGAAACAAAATGTGAGGTACATCTCAAAGGGTTATTGATCAACACACGGCACTATTGAATTCTTCCTACCCCCAAAAGACTTAAAGGAGATGTTTTGCTGAAACTCTGACTATTGAGGAAGTTCAGAGCACTGATCACGAACATGACATTAGTTTTTGGCGGTGGCGCCATTTGGCGCCATTAAGCTGCCACAACCTTTCTCACCAAGATCGATGAAAACTTGCGGGGTAATTGACGTCCTGATTACGAATACGGACACATTCATTTTTGACGCTGATCCATTCAGCCCTCTGCAAAGGCCGAGCTTGAACGAAGAAGTGGTTCCCTCCAGGCCAGCCTCATAGCACAGGAAGGGGTTATTTTCAGGGGAAGTGCGTAGACAAGCCCAGCAAGCAGCGATGTCTTGCGTGTCCCCTTCCTCTATCACTAAATCCCTCGGCACCCTATACAGATTTCATAATTGTGTTAAGGAGGTGAAATACCCTAGAGGACATGTTTTGAGCGAATTTGATGATTCGGGAGATTCGGCGCCGGCGCCTGGCGGTTTCGAGCCAAACGGATATGAAATTCATGTTCAGAAGATCAGACTACCCTTGAAAACAAATATACAGCCGAATCTGCCTTCGTAGAAAGGCTGTTGTAGGGATAGTTCAATAGTTCTCAGGGTTTTACCTTGTCATTGTTTTATCACTTCATGGATGCGGTCAGGACACAAAAAAACCGTGAAGCTGTCGTCGAAGGCGCAAAGCGACGTCGTAAAAAGCCTACGAAAGAACCACGCTCATGCTTGAGGATGCAGCTAGCGCAATCAAAAATCACATTGCGCTGTATCTTCAAAACAAACTGTACACTCACCTCTGCGAACCATGATCCTTGCCTGTGCTAGGGAAATGCAGGGGAACAGGGCTGGAGGGTATAATACCCGGATGCCGCTTCTCGGACTCCCCGTGTGCTGCTGCAAGGCCGGCCACATGCTTAGCCATAGCCAAACGCGCTGTTTGTCTGCGCCCTCTCACTTCTAGTTATTCTCTACCGATGAGTGTGTGTTCCGCTGCGGGGGCCTTGGTATCAAATGCTGCACCTAGGATAGCGCAGGCGGAGTACGGAGAGAGCACTCGGGTATCACCGCCCTCCAGCCCCTTTCCCGTGCAAGTCTGACAAGGGAAGTACGGTAGGTCGAAGTGGCCATTCGGGATGAGATGTATACCGACTGAAGGGTCTTGGACGGGGATTACGAAACCGTCTTCCATATCTGCTGCGGACCTCCCACTGTTTTCCATATCTGCTGCGGACCTCCCAGAACAAAGTTACGGGCCTTTTTAGGGGGAGCATATTGCTCAGTACGAATTAGCGGCGTGATGCCTCATCGCTCAAAGCGGCGTGCGCTGCCTGACGTGACTTAGTAGGTCTCAGCGCCACCGGTCTGATGGTCATATCTGCTGCGTTCCTGGTTCATCATGGAGTTGGTCCACAATGGCTCCATTAGTTTAGAAACACTCTTTGACAACAAAAATGCAAAACAGAAGAGTCTCACACCAACAGGATCCACAACCCTCGACCATGAAGACGGTGTAGATCTGCAACGTATTTACCTCGCACCACGGTCAACTGCTCGAGCGATGAGGTCATCAAGCCTCTAATCTCGTACTGATGCCAAGTATGCTACCCCCTTAAAAAGGCCCATACATCCCCTTGTTCTGGTGGCGTCCGCAACAGATATGAAAGAGATTTCGTAATCCCCGTCAGAGACCCCCTTCGTCGGTATAGCACATCTTCATCTCGAAATGACCACTCGACCTACCCCATCCTTGCCCTTGTACAGTGAAGAGGTAAGCGCGATTACGGTGACGCCGCGACCTATTCACTGGATTAGCGGTAAGGACCGTTCTCAAAAGGTGGTGTGCAGCTTGTTTCGAGTCCATGGACGGGCAAGACACGAAAGCTAAATTGCCTCCATGGCCAATGGCTCCTGGGCGCTATGATATTAGCTTCCACATAAGGCCATGAAATGAAAGGAATACGTTTTAGACTTACGTTGGAGAGAGCTGCAGGAATCGGTGTTTTCTTTCTATTCTTTAGGCTATGCAGATGAGGACTGATATAAAACAGCCATTCGCAGACTTCAGCCAGAAGCCAGCTACCGACGGCGTTGAACTGTAATTGAGGAAAAATTAAGCGAAACAAACACCTGCTGAAAAATAAAAGCAACTGAAAAAAATTGGAGACTCACTTCCTCCACAGGTTGAGGGTTTGCTTGCTCTTCTTCGGATTCTTCTTCAGAAGTGGAATTGCTTCGACTTGGACTCCCCGGTTGAGAATCAGAACCACTTGATGCTCTCCTCCGTCTAATACGGATAACCTGTAGAGTCTTGGATTTTCGCCATCATCACAAAAATGAAAAACAAAGGGACCTCGTCATCGTCGACATTATTTTCTGTCATCGTTATGACGACCTTGTCGATGAGACAAAGATAGCAAGAACACAACAAAGTGACACAGCTAATGAATGCATCTTCTGAAAAATAACCAATATTTAGCTAAATAAAGGCAAAATTGGCCAATTTCGGCAAAAAAGTGAGGGCGCCAAAGCGACGCTTATTGGCCCTATTATCGTCTAATGGCGGCAGAGCCAATCATTTTTAATGACTGAGACACTCACTTATCCTTTTTGTCAAGTTTCCGGGAATAATATGCTGATCATAGCGAAACAGTAATGTATCCGAAAACCCATTCCCGGAAAACGAAAATCTACATTCAGGTTCTCAGTGAATCTCCTATGTATTGATGCCGTATGCCCCATACCAGGAACGATCAGGTTCCGCCACAGAACGAACACCACATCATTTGACCGAACAGTCCACGAAGACCATATGGGCGGAGACAGACACACCATCGCGCCTTCCCAACTGATCGCCTTCCTTCTCATCTCCTAAGTAAGAGGGCGCATTGAGGGTTAAGGCATAAAAATATGTTCTTCTCCCCATCAGTATCCAATGTGCCTTTGAATCCGTGATTCATGCTCA